TGCTAGCATGCGAAGGATCTCTCTCATCACGTGCTGCTTCTGTTGCTGTTGTATGTAGACTTGTTCCATAGATTTAATGACCAAAAGAAAAAACTTAAGAGAGTAATGAAATCTACCCTGTCCTCAACTGTGGCGTTGCAGTTGTTTCACCCTAAATTGCCTGGAAATTAGCGTATGCTGGGGAAGAATATTTTTTGCGTTTAAGCCGTGCTGGAACGGTGTGGTTTTGACTTCAGTGTTGGAGAGAGCGGGCTGGAGCCCCAGTGGCTGGCCTTGCTGGGGCAGGCATCTGTCCGTCCTTCCTGGCAGCACCAAATCCGCCTTGTTGCTTTCATTTGGTGGGGAGGAGGAAAGCTACTTTTTGTGACAGTTCAAAAGGAAAATAATTGGCATGGGGATAGTTAATGTGAGTTGCCATTCCTTAACATTAGAGATTCCACTAAAGTACTAATAATTACTGTTAATATCTTTCAGTGGAAACTTTCAGAGTAAACGAGCACTGGTTGAAGCAGTATTTAACGGCATGCTGCTGGCATGATAAGAATGCAAATAAGCGTTATTAGCCTAATGATTTTGCTGTCACCATGGCTGTGCAGCAGTAGTGTTGTGAATATGTCATGCAGTACCCGTGAATTTGGAAAGTGTGTCAAAACACAACTTCAATTAGTTTGCTCTAATTATGGCTCTAGAGAGTTCATAACTATATCACTCCTCATTAAAAGAGATTTTCTTATATGGATTAATACAGCACATAAAGGGATGTTTGAGCGATCTGAGGCAGAGCTGTGCACAGGGAGGATGCCCATGATGTGGTGGGAGGTGCAGTGGGTCCGAAGCAGCGCCGGTCTGTCCCTGTCCCATGAGCTCCCGGTGCAGGGCAGGGACTGGGAAACCTCCCGTGCGGGGTGGGCAGGACAGGGTGGCTGCACCAGGTCAGCTGGTGGGCAGCAGCTTCGGTATCCCTCAGCACATGAACCTGGCAGATAATTCTGGACAGGCTCTTCAGTTTAAAACAAACAAACAAACAAAACCAAGCCACCAACAAAACAAAACACAGAAGCCCTAGTAGGAACACACTTAATGCTAAAATAGAGATCTAGCCTGAAAGCTTTGCTCTGATAAAGGTCGAAGAGCGTCGGTAGTCAGAAGCCTGTGTCAGTCTGGCATCTCTGAAGGAGCCCTGCAGGATGCCAAATGTCTGTGTACCTTTCCCAGGGTATTTGTCATGTCTTTTAAGTACTGTCTTTCTGTATTGCCTAAGCATGTTCTTGCTTTGCAGAATGGGGAAAAGATTCTTGTGCTCACAGGTGAGCAGTTGGTGAAGGGTTAAAGTAGTAATTGTTTAAATCTTTTAGGCTTTCCTCCCAGTTCTGTGATAATTTGATGAAGAACTTCACCCTAATTAAATATTCAAATTAGGAATAAGTGTCAATATGGCTTCCCATTGCCTGGAATGATGATTAATTGTATTCAAAACTCTAGTGGCCGCTGTAATCTAAACCAAACCGTTGTTCTTGATTATTTCTGCAACACATTTACCATGTTTTTGTTTTAAAATTTAAACTAGTAATTGATTTGCCATATGCCACAGAGCTGCACATATTTTCACGATATGTGTTTAGGAACTTGGGGACTTTGTAATTGGGATTTTCTTGCTTTTCAATGGCAGCCTTTTTTTTTTTTTTTTTTTTTTTTGTCTTCTACAATGCAAAATGATTTGGCTTTCACAACGCATAAGGAAAATGCATTATGCAATCAACTTAGTAGGTATAAGTTATATTGATCCTGGCCAAAGTTTGCATTAACTTATAATAAATTAGACCTTGTTTCCCATTTTTCCCTACAATGTCATGCTTTTAAAAAAGGGAAGGGGGAAGGGGAGAGCTGATCTCGTTCTAGCAGTTACTGCTCTCCGTCTTGTGGTTTTGCAGCTAAATGTTGTCCTTGGAGAGATGTGGTTCTCCACGGTGCAGCTTGGTGGGAGTGATGAAATGCCTGTTTGTCCTACCTCAGAGATGGAAAGTGGCCATGGGGGGGTGCAGGCCATCATTTCCAAACGCCCTCGTTACAGCCCACATTCAGGCCCCCCCGGTGCTGGCAGGCCAGCGTGGGCAGCGGCTGAACTGGCGCTTTCAGCCGACGAGCCCCACGAGCGGTTGCAGGAGCGCCTGCCCACTGAGAGCAGGTCTGAAGGTGTGCACCCTCGCACGTAGCCTTTGTAGTTCCCCTGCCATGACAGAATACCTCCGTGTGTCTTTTAACATTGATATGTCTGAAATGGAGAGCAAAGAGGATACCCTGCAGAGTTAGGTAGCAAGATCTGTATACGTCATCTTCTGCTGCCATGTTCATCCGTGTGTGGTCAGAGTCCCTCGGACGGCAAGTGATTCATTTTAATTACACGCGTGGAACATGCGCACCGCTTCAGCATATGGCGCTCGTGAAACCTGGTGCTTGCGTGAGCTGCCAGGCACACTGGTAGCGGCTAGGGACTTGGTTCAGAAAGTCTTCTGCAAACTAAGGATTCAGAGCTTTAGTGGAAGGCTGCTGCATGTGTTCGTGGAGCTGACAGCTCCTTCGTGGTGCTTACATAGTGCCCGCTATGAGCCAGCTGTGGGACTGTCTCTGCAGTTCTCTGGCTGAAGGGATGCTTATCACCTCCCTTGCAGCCTGCAGTGGTCCAGCTGGCTTGGTGGTGGATTGTGGAAAAGGGCTGTCCAGAGGGAAGAGGGTCCAGCCTCTCCTGCAGCAGAAGCTGGTAGAAATTTTTAAAATACTCTGCTCAGAAATGGGCCTTTTAAGTAGGTTTGCTTTGTTTACTTGCAAAATAATTCCTGCTGTTTTGTTTGGGGTGAAGAAAGCGGCCCTCCATACAAGCAAGAGAAATTCAAAAGTCTTTCTGTTAGCTGTTTTGGTGCCTCTGAAAGTATTTTTGGATACTGCTGTTAAAAAACAAATGAAAAGCGTGTAATGCCTACAGGCAGTGGTCTTCTGTTTTAAAGTGTGTTCATGACAAACCTGCCTCTGCTCACAGAGAGTCTCATATGGATTGCGTTTTAAACGGCAAACTGTTAGCCAAATTCGAAAATATTTTCACACCATCTTTTTTTGGTTAGAAATAGCTTTGGGAAGCACAAGCAAACTCAAACTGATGTTTGCTTTTTCTTATTTTATCCATGCTGTTCACCGTCAGCTGCATCAAGGGCTAAAAATACATAGTTCTTCACAAAATGTGTCCTGTTTTTAAAGGCAGATAATTTCCAGATGATTTGCTCAACAGATAAAACCTGCTAGCTAAGAATGTGGATTTGATGCTCTGCTGGAGAATACACAGGGCTCTTTCTTGCAGATAGGGTGTTTGTGAAAGGACACAAAGGCCGCCTTGTTTTTCTGGCAGAAGGGCGATGCCAAGGGTCTTGCCGTGTCCAGTAGCTCTTGCTTGTCTGAAATGGTAGCTGCTGCTTCTGCCTTATGCTACACTAAGGCTCTCTATCAAGAGGGAGCATCTTCATTATGTATGGCAATGCAGTCCAGAAGATTAATGATAACATTTTATAAAAATTCACACAGACCTGGGATCAGCATTAGAAAAATACAGATTTGAATTAAAAGGGAAAAGCCCGTATCTCTCATCAAAGCATAGAAATCTGTGGGCTATCAATAACGGTTACTAGCAAAAAGTCTTTTCTCATGGCAGACTTCTTAGTGGAGCTCCGTGGCTGGCCAGGCAGCTGCACTGGCTGGACTGGGGGTGCAGCGTGACGGCAGAGGCAGAGCCGTGTCCACCATGGTGAGCAGCCTTGCTTGTGCTCTCGCAAGCCTCAGCGCTCCCATGCCCAGGCAGCTTTCCTGGGCTGTGTCCCACTGGGCAGGGGGAGCTGGTGCTGGCTGTTTGCGCCCTGCCCGAAGGGCTGTCGGGCCCGTCCTTAGTGCCAGAGGCTGGTGCAGAGCAGCTCCAGGCTCCGGCAGCTTCATGTGCAGCCCCCTCTCCAGCCCTAGGGCTTGACGAGAGCAGGGCTTGCTGGGTGTCGCATCCTGCCCTCCCACACCACATGTTCCTGGGAAGGTCACCCACCTCGTCTTCTAGCCTGTGTCCAGGCTTGCTGTGTGCTGGGTTTTCCTTTTAATAAGCTCTGAGCCGCTGAAAATAGTTTCAACTTCACTTCCATGAGCTCTGTTTTTTCCTATTTATAGGAAGGTTTAATGGAAGCTGTAAAAATATCTCTGCTGCAGGAATGCTGGGCAGAGCGTTGTTGGGAGGGAGGGCGTCACGCACTGCTGCGGCTAGAGGTGACGAGTGAAGTTTGGCTTCCCTTTTCTCAGGGGCTGGTGTAGTGGAGCTCAGCGTGTGCATCACCCCCTGCCTCAGGGAGCATGGGAGCGTGCAGCAGGCTCTGGGTAGGTTTGGAGCAGGCCTTAGTCATCAAGAGAGCTTCAAAGATCTTATTTATGAATATACTCAGAAGTTTTTGGCATGGATAAATCCAAAGCACTTGCTGTTAGCTCTTTTGCCTTGAAGGAAACGCAGTTGAGTCCTGCAGGGTGTTCAGGCACGCTCTTGATACCTTATATTGAGACTTGCATTTGCAGAGGGGGAACCACGCTTGCCAGCCACCGCGCAGGCTGTCCCTCGGTGCTGGCTTGCGAGGAGCTACCGTGTCCTGCCAGAGGGTGGATGGCTGCCTCTGTAGCACTTTGGTTGTTGGCCGAGTCCGGTGTTCAGCAGGGTGGTGGAAGCTTGTGCCAGGGCATAGACAGTCTTGCTCACAGCTGGACTGAGGAGCAGGTAAAGCAGCTGAACCACCCTTGTTGTAATGGCTGAATTGCCACCTCGGTCTCCTCCTGGTATTTGGGGCCCACTCTGGCTTTTACAAGCAGTGTCAAAATTGGTGTTTGCTGCTTACCCTGACTGGAATCATCTGGCAAGAGCAAGGCTGACAGCAGCAGTATCTTCTGCTCTGTAGTAACGTCATCTCTGTTTCCCATCTCTCTTCCTATAGGCATATCTCGCTGACACTCCCTGCCAGCTTTCGAGGGAAAAGTCACAGCACTCGCCTGGACTTGGAGCACCAGCACTCAAATTTGTATGCCATATCAGGTAAGCCGGCGCACGTAAATATCAGGTGTTACTGGCGGCAAATGTTACTGATCACTGGGGAGATCGCGGCCCTCGGGGAGGGATGCTGCTGCCTGCAGATGTGCTAGATGAGAGCTCTGATGGAAAGCAACTCTGACACAAACTTTGCTCCTCATCTTTTTCATGATCTTCACAGGTGAGTCATAAGAGACGACATCTCTGCCCGTTTCACAGGAAGCTTTGTCCTGCCTAGCTAGCAAGGATGAGTTTTGTACACGCTGTTCTTTGCTGTACTCAACATACACATTAAAAAAAGATGAGATCTTTACCCTTTCCCATTTCTATATTCTGAATACTGGCATTGCATAGATTTCTTTCTGCAGTATTAGGGCAAACTTGAAATAAGATATTAGGATATGAGGGGGTTCTGCATTATTTTCAAGAAGCGTGCCCTTGTACATGCACGCTTGATCTCTCTAGCTGCAGCTTTCTCTGTTCACTATTCCAGGCTAGTATACAAATGCTAGAGTTAGTGATAGTTTCCAGATGTCAATGTGGAGAAAACTTGCCAATGAATAATTTAGCTGGTTTTTATTTTTAACTAGTACTAGTCTGCAGGGAAAATGTGTATTTAAATAGAGTGGTGAGGATCAAGCCCGTTCCTTCACCCATGCGGATACAGGTACTTGTTACTGTGCTTCAGGATCACACAGTGGGTTCGGTTTGAAGCTGGGGTCCCTGTGAGCTGTCCCTGACAGCTCTGCTCCTCTGGAGGAAGTCCTGCCTTTAAGTGGTTGCTGTCCTGAAGGAGGAGTGGGCTAAAAAGGAACGTAACTGGATTCTTGGGGCCCGGGAGGAAATGCCTCTGGGAGTGAGAGGCAGGGATGCTTTACAGAGTTGTACCTCATCGAGTCTGTCACTCTTGGATGTGCTGAGAGCTGTGTGGCCTGGAAGCTATTCATGAACCACAGCAACAGGACTTTTGATTCTGCAAACTAAAGAAAAATGTTAGGTGCAGCTGTGGCACAACAGTGCATTTCACCTGCCTCTTCCCTTATGGGGCTAGCTCATATTCTGTGCTTCAGCTGAGTAGTTCTGGCGTTCAAGAGAGTTTTCCTTAGAATTATTTTTTTTGGAGTAATATTACGCCTGAACAAATATTGTGATAAGCATGGTAGAATCACACTTAGCCACAGTTTGCTTTTTGTTATGTCATTTTTGCAAGAGGAGAAAAATACTGGCTTTAAACTTGACTGTCAAAACCTAATGAAAGTCCCTTCAACTGGCTGAAGGAGATTTTCAGGACAGTTTGGAAACCCAGCAAAAGCAGCAGTGGATTCAGTGGGCTGTACAATAGGTAGTGCTTGTGCATAATCAGGGAAGAGAAGATGGCAAAAATGTGCCATTTACAGGTTCTTGCTATTAATAGTGAGTGACAATTCTAACATGGGAACATGGCATTAATTCATGTACCATAATCAAAGGGTTATTTAAAAGGTAATCTCTGACTGAAACTGCAGCTTCAGGTTCCTAAATAGATGGAATATAACAATTGCATAATTCTTGTCAGTACTCGTTTTTCTTGTTACTCTCCTGCTCTAATAGACTTAGAAACGTAAGGGAAGGTGTGTTCTTGTGTTCACATGAGAAACAGTCCTACATGGAGGATGGAAAGCTGTGCTTCCTCTCCTGAGAAAGCATCAAATGCACAAACAGCGAGGCAGCACGTCTGCATGAATGTTACTGAGAGCGACCCTGCTCTAGGACTTCCCATGGACTGCCTCTGCTTGCAGTGCAACCTGGAAAGATGACCTATTTTGTAAAGAACCTGAATACCAGATAATTATAGGCAAAGCACAAAACAGGTCTGCAAAACTGGGCATGGCATTAGTCCTTCACGTTTGCATGAGCACATTTCAGTCAAAGTATATAATTCTCTCCTCCCCCCCCCCACCAACTACACATTCTCCTCCAGACACGTTGTTATACAAGTTGTTGTGCATACATGTGCTGTAATGGCTATTGCAGCTGTGAATCGTTTCTGAAGCAAGGGTCTTGTCATATGAAACATCCTGTGCATTGGCAGGGATCTTCATGCATAACTCCTGACCACTGCTGCCTTTTCAGCAGCTGTGATGAGGTGCTGTGACAATTCCCTTTGCGTGTTTAAACATTGCCGAGGTAGATTAGCCCCCAGATGCACTGTGGAAACCATTCTGAAGTTTCCTGTTACGTCGGTGTAGTTTGCAGCCAGTCCGTTTTATCTGTGCTGCAATGCGAGTGCCTCGCTGCAGTGCCATGGCAACGGGAAATTTATTAACGCGCTTCCACCATCGTCCCTAATTGCTCTGCCGGGATGTGGTTTGCCGCGGTGGGGTCCTGGCTGCAGCGTGCTGCGGGGCCTGCGGCGCCAGGAGAGATGTGGGCACGCGGAAGACGTGCGGGCCGTGGCGGTGAGCGGCTGGCGTGGCCGGTGACACGGTGACCTGGGGCTCTGGCAGGTGCAGGCGTCCTCTCCAGTCCTGCTGGGGCGGCCGCGCTTGTGGACAAGCCTGCGGGCTCCCTCTCTTGGCTCTCAGCAAAATGGAAGGTTTCCTGGTGCTGGTGCAGGGAAACAAAAGCTGTTATGAACAGTCTCTTATCTTGCAATTTTGGTATTGCTTCAGTCTGAGTTCTTGTGGTGGTGACAGGATGGGGTATTTAGGAAGGGAGGGCTGTACAGGAGGGTGAAATTAAGAGTCGCAGCATGGTCTCGGTTCTCTGTCTGTAGGCACCCAACATTTTCTCAGTAGTCAATGAAAACAACACTTCTAACTGGGGCTTAGCCTGTTTATGAAAGGTGAAATGAATTTTGGCTGTCGAGCCTACTCTGTATCCCAAAATACATTTTGGCAGAAATTGCCATATCCCTACTGGAACTGTCATGTTACTCCTTGGGGTATGTAATGCAATTATTATCACAAAGCTGGAGTCAAGGAAAAAATGGTCCTGAAAGTAGTAATTACAGTTTTTAACCAGCCTTTTGTTGTTTCCAGTCTTGGCAATGAAATACTGAGTGACCAGAAAGTTAAGGAGACTCCTCTTTGCACAGTAAACTAATGATCAGTCTTTGACAGGGTGCATATAGGAAACTATTGCCCAGACCTCGCAGCAGGAGCCTGCCACGTGTCACTGCAGCGCAGCACTACTGTCTGTGCTCATGCTTGCACTGCTGGCATCATCTTCCACGCCTGGCAGACTCCGTGGTCCCACCCTGTGCCATGTGCCTGAGACCAAAAGGCAGAATTACTTCGAAGTTGATCTGCAAAAGGTCTCTGGGTGCTGCTGGGAGCGTGGTGCTGAGGAGCTGACAGGTTTAATATGCATGTTCGAACGGGCAGCTGCTGGAAGAAGAATGCCTTGCTCCAGACAGACCTGTCGACAGACACTGCTCAGTATTTCACAGCGTAGTCTTTCTTCATGGCCTTCAGCTTAATTAAGATGTTGTTGTGACTACATACTGCCTTCATTTCAGACTTCAGCATCTTCTGGCTGCATATTGCTTTGGCTTATCAGAGCCACAAGGACAGTGAGGGAGAGAGGGAGCCCTCTCAGTCAGCCACAGATAATAACATACAGGGAAAATTCCTGAATGAAGTGAAAAATTATTTATAATAATGGTACTCAAATAGAAGGCAAATAAGTCACTCTAAGGGTATATAAATTTTTATGATAGTGTATAAACAGCCATAGCTTGCCTTGTCTGCCATCTATCCCTGCAGAGAATGAGGGCAACATCTAGCATAAAGAAAAATATAATAAGAAAACGAAGAAATGAATGGGAAGAGCTGGAGGATTGATCACTTGGTGTATTTGTATATCCTGATGTAAAAGGTGCTGCTGACAGGTGGCCAGGTTTCTTCTGTATAAAACCATGTGTGTGCTGTCAGGGCGGTGTGAGCAGCCTTGTTTCGATTGATGAATTGCCTGCTTTCTTGATTAAACCTTCCGTCACTTAAGAAACAAAAAGCCTGTGTTTGGATGGCAGAGTGGGACATGTCAAAAAAATCTGTCTGCTTTACCTTTGTGCAGATGTTGGGCACAGACTGTAACATGTATTATTAAAATGAATGTGGCATTTACTGTGCATTATTTCTTCCCTGGGAGAAAGGACCTGTAAATTATATGCTAATAATAAGCTTTAACCCTTTCAGAAACAAACAGATTTAGGAGTGCAAATATTCTTGCAGGCCTCACTAATTGGATGGGCTCTAATACCACTGTAGCTCGCTCTGAAGTTAATATTCAGAGCAGTATGCTGATGCCTCTTGGGGATCTTGCCTCCCATAAGTTTTCTGCTGTGCTAAGTGCCACTGAAACGTAAACCTTCCGAATTACAAAATCTTCCATTGAAAGCCCCCTTCAGATTCTGATTACAGGCGAAAGCTGTCTCCTGCCTGGGGATGAGGCCAGCCGCGGAGAGGTTGCACAGCCAGCCATGCATGACCTCCTCTGCAGGGGGGACAGCGCTCTGCCGTGGAAGCTGGCGGAGCCTCCTGCACTCGCACCAGCTCTAACCTTTGATTTCACTTTCAGAATCGCTTCAACCTGCCAGTTTGAGACGTACTCAACCGACTCGTCTCAGGAAAAGGATTAGGGATGGAAAAAAGGTTTAACACACCTTGCAGAGCACATGGCAGGATGTTGCGTTTGGAAACTAGTGACTGAGTTTGCAAAATGAGATTTTTACAGTCTCAGCTGTGGTTTCTGGGAACCCACAAACTGGTCCAAACCGTGTGCTTCCCCATAGTGTGGGTTTTCTCTGCTAAAGTCAGGTGGGCAAAGCCATCGCTCGCTTTGGTGTGTGACCCTGTACGTTGCTGAGCAGGGTTGTCGTTTTTTGCCCTGAAATTTTACTGTAGCCATCTTCGGCATCATGTTGCAGATAGATGTGTTTGTCGGTTGTAGCATACAAATTTATGTAATTTGAATATAGAACAGTCAATACTTGAACCTTCTCTTGACCTGTTCTGAGACTGTCA